ATAGTTGTCAGTTTAGCAGTTACCCGATTAAGTACTTCTATAGTTTCCAACAATGTCCTTTGGTTAGATAGTGACATGTACATTACATATTGCTATAGTATCGGTCATCCTTTCGGCCAGCACTGGTGCATTAATGTGGTCTATTCACATACGTTATTCACTTGAATGGACATACAAATGGAGCTTTATTCATACACATCTCCTCGCCCTAATTCAGTAGTAGTAGCTATTTGTTCCTTATTAACCAACTATCCAAGTGTTTAATGGCTTAATATTTACTGAACCAGCACTAATGTTTTCTCATGTTACATTACCATTGGACTAGTATTGTAGTACAGACGACTGCATAACTAGTTGGAGCTAACGATAACCTTCTCTTTCCTCTATTTAAGCTGTGTCATAATGTGCACACGTGTATCATATATATATATTAGCCTCTTTGAGCTCAACCTTCCACATCCACAATCCACCTATCCATAAGGTGTTATTCCACTTGATCCAAAATTCTGACATCATGTATCTGCAAAGGTAGTAGGGTATTTTTTTGGATTTATTTGTTCTAAAAGACTGATCTCTTGAAACTTACAGTTGGAAGCCTTCAGAAAGACGCTTATGAGATCGCTCAATGAGGAAGAAGACAGCTCGGTAAGTCCTTGTATGAAAATCGAAGGATTTCTCCATCTTCCTGTTGTTATTTTATTCCTGTAACTAAAATAATGCCTTTGAGGGTACTATACTATTACATGGAAATGGGCTAAATTTCTCAGTGCTGAAAATTACAGGAACTGGCAACACTATTACCTGCTAATCTTGTAAGTAGCAAATGTTGTCCTCATTAATAATCTGTCGCTTTTGGTGTTTGACAGGCTGGAGCTCCAGATTTTGCTAAAAATGGACAAAACCAATCAGGTTTATCTTTTTGGTCATTGCTCAATGTCTATATTCTTTATCTGCAATTTGCTCATATTCAGTAAATATCTTTGTTTGAAGGAGTTCTATTGCTCCAAACGTTACCATGTGTAATATGTTCCAAAGTTTGCTATGTCAAATATGTTTATTAGAGTGAAGTTTCTCCACAACTTTAGATATAGAAACTTTTCTCTTCTCGTGAGGATATAATGAAGTTGTCTATTATTGGTTCTAAAGGTTAAAAGGTTTTATTGATTTGACAATCTTTTGTGCATCTTTTGTCATATGCAGTCGACAGTTTAATAAGCTTGGGTCGTTTTCGCTCCCCTTTCAATTTTCTCTTAGCATATGTTTTGGGCCCTTCTTTTTCTATTGGGTAAATGGGGGTAAGAGGAAACAAGCAGCTCTGCAAATTATTTAAAATGAAAGGTGTTTTTATCTCTGAGCACTTTAAAACAACATTTTCAAGTTACGAGTATCACTTAACCAAGCTAGTTTAAATTATTCAGATCAAGATTCATCCTCGCCAGCTTCAAGACCTCCTCAATGGACCCAGTCAACAGAGGGTGGATATTCACAGTCAGAGGATGCTGAATCAGAAAGTATGCTCCAATACCCAAATTGTCTGTATTGTGATATTATTGGTGACCTCTGGCTAAGCAACTTCTAATCTATGAAATACTTTTGCATTATGTAACTTAACCAGAAACTTTATCTTTATTCAATGGTTGCAGCTTCGAGGCCTCGAATATCACCAGGTCTGTTGTTAGCATCGCAGACTAGCACCCCACGTCTTACTCCTCCTGGCTCCCCTCCAAGTCTTTCAGCATCCGTGTCTCCTTCAAGGTCGCCAAGACCACTATCTCCAAGGAGGCATTCTATTTCATTCTCAACAGTAAGAGGCATGTATGATGACAGATCTTCAGCATTTTCTACATCCTACAGCCAGCATGGCTCGATGTCAGGCCTTGAAGCAGGATCACAAACTGGTTTGTTCTTTTTCTGAAGAACTCATATTGGGTTCCTTTCTTTGCTCATTTTGGCATGCATTATTAAATATCTGCGGATTTTGTTCAGTCTAAAAATACACCAGTTTTATCTTCAGCTCAAAGGTTGCTGGGATGAATAAATTTTTTTACTTGATGAAATAAGTTCATCCTAGTCGAGAACCTATTTTGAGTAAGGTAATGCAAGGGAGAAGGGACAGTTTTATTATCGGCAATCACTACCTTCTATTGAATAACATGTGGTCTAAGTGCCACCAGACCTACTCTTTTGCATCTATATATAGTGCATGAATGCCTAGCTGTGTCTCTACTTCCTCCTTAATTTAACAAAATTAAAGCCTCATATTCTGAGGTCTGACATGAATGTCACCACTTTTGCATGTACCCTCCCAGCACGAGCTCGAGTGGATGGAAAAGAGTTCTTCCGACAAGTCAGGTAAAGCTATTGCTGCTGAAAACAAAGTTATTGTTTATTTCGTACTGACTGTCCACAGCACTTTGTTAGAGAAAGTTCAATCGCATATGTAGGATTGACAAAAAATACTTATTTTGATGTCACGATGCACCGTGAGGGTCTAAAAGAAAGTCTCATCTAAAACATTCACTACAATAAGGGTCATAATCTTCTTTCCTTTATTATTTTTTGATGTGAGACAGTTACTGTAATTGATGTTTAACTCAGAATTAAAACATCTAACTGTATTTACTTAGGGGAAGAAAATTATTGCATAAGTCGGAGATCTCTTGTACCAAAAATTAAACAAGGCTCTCGTAAGCACCTCCTGACATAATACATGATTATATTGTTGCCCGAATATTCAAAGAAATGGACCAAGAGACGAAAGTCTGTTGCTAAATTGGATTTATCTTTCATTTATTCTAGTATGTTGAAAACATTTTTGGTGTTCACTTCGGAAATCCTTTCTAAAAGATAACTCTTCAATTTGATAACTGTAAATATCTTACTTAGACCTTCAACTAATGCAAAAATGGGACGAAACTTCATGTTCCATAACTCTGGTGATTGTCAGTCTTCTCGAACCAGATTTGCGTGTGCTTTGTGATATGCTCGGTGTTTCATGTTTGTATATTCTAAGAGTCTTTGAACTTCTATTTCATAACCATCGGATGGTTTGTGCATTATCAGGAGTCGGCTATCGTATGAGCAGTTTGGTGGTTTTCTAGCAAATGTTAAGGAACTGAACTCGCACAAGCAAACGAAAGAGGTATGCTTTGCCTCACATGATGATCTTATGACACTAACTACCAATACATTGCTCTGTATAAATGTAACAAGCTTATTTTTGGACATTTTAGGAAACTTTGCGGAAAGCAGCTGAAATTTTTGGTGAAGAAAACAAAGACCTTTATACCATCTTTGAAGGGTTGATCTCTCGTAATGCCCAATAAAATATCCAAAGCTTGAATATTGCATGTATTTTTTACTGTAAATTCACTGAATAAACTAAATGTGCCAAAATTGTTTCACTATATTGTATTTTCTTCTTTTGTTGTCGATGTATTTTATTTTAATTTATAGCTTCAACAACAATAACAGAATTTCATGTACATTTATTGAACTCAAATGTTTTGAGCTTCGAAAGTAGAGTAGTGCCTCAATCAAGGCTTCAATGTATATGTGCTTGCGCAAAACACATGGAGATAAAATTGAATATATACTTTATTCTATCAACTTGGAGAACCACAATGATTAAATTCTGATTTGGCCATATGACATGTAAGTTTGAAGAAAATAATGTACTAAGTAATGTAAATTAGTTTTTCTAAGGTACTGATGCAGTATGCACCACCCATTTCGGAAGTCATGTCCAGGGACGGGTCCTGGTTCGGAAGTCGAGTATCAATTCTAGTGTTGGGCCTCGGTTCGGGTTTTGATGTCGGTCTTGATTCGAGTGTCGGGATCGGGTGTTGGTGTCGGGGTCGGATCATGGTTCGAAAGTCAGGTCACGAGTTGAGAGTTGGGGTCGGGTCTAAGTTTTGGATGTTGGGACCAGGGTCGGATCTCAGGTGGGGGTCGGGTCCTGATTTTAGAAGTCGGGTAAGGTCGGGATCAGATCGCGGTTTGAAAGTCGAGTCTCGGTTTTGATATTGGGTCTCGGTTCATGTATTGAGGTCGGGTGTTGGGTCCCGATTTAGCTGTTGGAGTCGGGATCAAATCAGAGTTCAAAAGTCGAGTCCCTGGTCAGGTGTTGGGATCGGGTTCTGGGTTTAGAAGTTGGGTCTTGGGTCGGGTCCCTAGTCGAATGTCGGGATCAGGCCATGAATCGGTCATCGAGGTTGGGTGTTGGTGTCGGTGTTCGGTCCAGTATGAATATTAGGTCTCATGTCGAGGTTCGAGAATGGATTTAGGGTCAGGTGTTAGGGTCGTCGGATCCCAAATCAATTGTTAGAGTTGTATCCAGGTTTGAGTGTCGAGGTCGGGGTTGAATTTCAGTTCGAATGTCAGGTCTCGAGTCTTGGATCAAGAGTTGGGGTCAGGTCTTGGGTTGGGTTTCGGGATTGTATCCCGGTTTAGGTGTCATGGTTGGGGTTGGTGCTGAGTTTGAATGTCGGATCCAAATCGGGGGGTCAAGTCTCGGTTCGGGTGTTGAGATCAGGTTCCGGGTCAGTTGTTGGGTTGGGTCCTAGATCGATTATCGATGTTGATTTTCAGATTAGAAACTATTTCCCTAAAAAATATTTTCTATCCTCTGGCCAAAAATAAAAGATATATTTTGGAAAATATTTTTCATTCACCAACCATACACGAGAAAATATTTTCCACTCACCAACCAAACATGAAAAATTAAGTTAGAAACCAACATATTTTTTAGGAAAACATTTTCTAAAAAAACATTGTCAATAGAAAATATTTTCCTTGGTACCAAATATATACTTATTGGTACGGATTCAGATTATATTTATTTAGATTGTGTTTTGATCCCTAGTAAATAAATTTTTGAGGTTCCACAATTTTGGGCTATAGGTACATTGGCATGCATGGAGGTTGATAACATAACCACTATTTTCCCTCTTTCCTTTTCCTCATTTTCTCCTCTCCTCTAAACTTCTCTCTCTCTTTCTCATTCATTCTGCAATTCTCCCAATTCTTTGGTGTCTGTGGAGGAAGCCTAAATTCACCCTTATTTGGCTCTTTTGGGTTTTTTTTGTGAGGATCAATGGAAACTATTCTTGAACATTCGGTTTCTCCATGGTATATATATGATGATTTTCTGTTTATTGTTTCATAATGGACATCTCCATTTATTTGTTTCTACCTATTATTTCCTGTTTCTGGGAAATGTTGTTTTCTAATTTTTTTCATTTATACTTAATGTATGTGTTTGCAATGTCACGAGCGCCTACAAGGCTCTCTGTGTGTGTTTTTGTATATACTGTGTGAATTCATATCTATATCGTTATACATCTTATCAGATCTGTTAGATGAGATGTTTGACTGTTGTAACGTTGATCATCGTCAACCAATCACAACTCTCCTTCTTTATATAATTTTCTTGTGATAAAATTCATGCAATAACAAAGGTAGAAAGACATTAACAATATTGTCATATTGATGTTGGCACTTCTCTTTTTGACAACAATTGAATTTCTAGATTATTATTTTTTTGATAATATATAGTAGAGTTTTCAAAATGATATAATTATAGACAAGTCAGATTTGAATGAAACAGGATAAAGAAATGGTGGAAAAAGCCTTTTCCTTGCTTGTAAAATGTTTTAAGGAATATTTGCTTGATTTTCTAAAAACTAAATATAGTACTAACATCTATGCTTTTTAAGAAATGGTCTTTATTTATATCTCTGGCTTCCCAAATTATGTTAACAGTGAGAATACCTGCAATAATGTTGATGAAGAAGAGTCAGATGAGGAGCTTTTCAAGGTTGGACCCAAGCTACTATTTTGTGCTTCCTCCATTTCACTCACCGCGGAAGGTGATAACATGCTAGTTTCTTTCATCGTATTATCTTAAATATCATGTGTTTAATTATATTCTAACCTTTTTTTTAATCATTTTTATGCTAGAGTTTCGAAGTCTAAGCGTGGGGGAAGATCATGATATGGATGAGGATTCTACTAGAGAAGTTATCAAAGAGGATAAAGTAAATGAGGAGTCGATAAGAGAAGCTTCGGAGAATCAGACAGATCAGTCTGAAACAACTACTTCCAAGCCTAGCACTTCAGATTCAGATGGTTGGCAAGGATTCATTAAAAGACTAAAGAAAGGACCATCTATACAGTTGCATACGTTCCATCCTACCATTCCTTCGCTACCTTCATTACCTTCCATAAAGATGCTATCCAAAAGAAAAAGTAGGAGTGCACGACGTAGCATGCCAATGCTGCCTGCTCCTATTCTAGATGCTGATTTGCAACAGTGCTTTGAAGCTAACTGGAAGAATTTCTCCCTCACAGAACTTAAGCAAGCTACCAACAACTTTAGCTCTGGTACGCAAGTTCTTCTCTTAAAAGATTTTCAAATTTCAGTTGGCTCGCTCGGAGGTAGGTAACTTCAAACGGATATATGATTTTGATCTTCATAGTACGAGCTAGTTTGTTTATGATCTCTCTCAAATTTGAATTGTGTATCTTTAGTATTATGTTGTAGAACCATATTGTGATGCCTAAGCTTTTGTTGTCATTTTGGAAGATAACTTGATTGGTGAGGGAGGTTATTCTGAAGTATACAAGGGACTTCTCAAAGATGGCCAACCTGTGGCAGTGAAAAGGTTGACCAGAGGATCTCAAGAGGAAATGACGTCGGACTACTTATCTGAGCTAGGAATTTTAGTACATGTCAAGCATGCAAATGTTGCCAATGTAATTGGCTACGGAGTCGAAGGGGGGATGCACCTTGTTCTTCCTTTGTCTCCTCATGGAAGCTTAGCCAATATGCTCAGTGGTATGTTCATTAGTATTCTTTTTATGAAATGATGCTTTCTCTTGACTCTTAACAACTAATTACTTTATTTTATCATGTCTGCAACATTATCAGGTGACAGGGGTAAATTGACTTGGCAAGTAAGGTATAATATTGCTCTTGGCACTGCAGCAGGTCTTGCATATCTTCACGAGGGCTGCCAGAGGCGGATTATCCACAGAGATATCAAGGCTGCTAATGTATTGTTGACAGAAGATTTTGAGGCTCAGGTATTAATATATTTGAACCACTCATCATGACATGAAACTGCCTTCATTTCTATGATTTTGGAATATCTCCTTCTGTAACATATAGTTTTATAAGCAAACTGTAGGGGTTCTGTTTTGTCCACATTGAATCGCACGATTTGTTGCTGATCCTTTGGTTTTGTGTAGATAACTGATTTTGGACTTGCAAAATGGCTCCCTGATAAGTGGACTCACCTCACTGTATCCCAGGTTGAAGGCACCTTTGGGTGGGTTTGTGGGAACCTAAGCTTTACCTATTATAAATATGCGAAAAAGATCATTTTGAAGTAACTTTCATTTTGCATGTTCATGGCAGATACCTCCCTCCTGAGTTCTTTATGCATGGTATTGTGGATGAAAAAACTGATGTGTATGCTTTTGGTGTGTTACTGTTGGAGATCGTTTCTGGACGTCCAGCTTTGGATGAAGCTCGTAATAGTGTTGTGATGTGGGTATGTAATCATCTCAACTTCTTCATTAGTCAAATGCAAATGTAGTACTATATATTTGCCTATTGCTTCAACTGAAACCAATCAACTTTTCAGGCAAAACCATTGCTTCTCAACAAGAAAAATAGTGAGATAGTCGATCCATCACTTGGAGATGCATACGACTTAGAACAGCTTAATCAGATTCTTATGGTTGCCTCATTGTGCATACAACAATTTTCAACAGATAGGCCTTCAATGATCCAGGCAAGTAACTTGATTTTTAGTCTAAAAAAATAACAAATATTAATCATATCATAGTAACATAAATATTGATAATCATTTGAAAGAAGAGTATGGACTCCTGATACAAATTTTTCCATGTTCATGCTTCTCTTCATTTTAGTAGCTAATGTACGATGGAACAATCAGAATATTCAAAACTTGATTATAATCATTCAAAATGAAAATCTAATGACAGACTATTACAATCATAGAACAATAATACACAATACATAAAGCTTGTTTTTTGTTGTAATGCAGGTTGAACAAATGTTAGTTGCTGTTGACGGAATTCTACAGAGCAAGAAAAAGTTTCAAAGGTGGCCTCCCCTAAAGCGAAGATGCGCCATAGAGCTGGATGCACTACTTGAGTCACCCTAACAAAAACATACAGATATAATCTAAAAACCAGTAAAATCAGGTAGAACTAGAGATATTTTCCTTGTTAGCAGCAGTGAGGGATTGGTCTTCAATGCGATTGATCATACTGTAGTTAATGTATGCAACCACACGCGGAGCTTGTTCTATACCAGTTAAGACGGAATTTGAGAAACAGAATATATTAATCCAACCAGGACAAGTATTCAAAATAACAAGTGTAATGCTTCAAGAGTACTTTCAAGTTTTGACAGGCGTACGTACATAGCAGCTTTCTTCAGTGAATATATTCAGCTACTATATGTTGAGGAAGAAAAGAGATGCCAACATTTCTAGGGTGATTCGTCTCCAATTTACGCCATTTTTTGCTTAGATACATCTACAAACTTCTGAACTAGGTAGATACTGAAACTGAAAATGCATAGAACTGTGAACTGTAGAGATATATTATATTAGGTGAATTTGTGATATACTAGATTGCATGTATGTAAGCCAGCAAATAAATATGCATAGTACATTTTTCCTTTGAGAAAGTGCAAGTAACTGTATAATGAGCTGTTTATTTTGCACTATTGAAAGGATTTCAGATGCATATCTTCCTATTTAAAAAAATAATATTATATCCTTGTTTTAATTTAGCACTAAGATTTTGGTCCAGATGAAATGGATGATCCAAGATTTATAGGCATCATTTGCAGCCATCATACTTAGATTGATTTAGCCGAGCTAGACATGGTTGATTTTGATGTTATTATAGCTATGAACAGTCTAGCCTCATGCTATGCCAATGTTGATTATCGTACTAAAGTTGTCAGATGTCATTTTTCGAGTGAGCCAGTCCTGGATGGAAGGGCAGTTCTGCCACACCCAAGGTAGGTTTAGTTTGTTACTTATTCACAATTACGAAACTTACTTAAAATAGAAGGTTCTTGAAGTACGAGTGAAGTCTCAAAATAGAAAGCAAAATCAAGGTCAAATAGTAAGCATGAAAAGAAAAAAGAAGCAAAAAAAAAGCAATTTGGAAAGGTTTGAGTGATTATACACTTTATTTGTTACTTGAGCTGGCCACTATTTTCAAACCAAGAAAATGTGGGACATATAGGATCATAAAGGCCAACCCAGCCTCATAAACTAAGTAGCAAGCTAGCAGCTACAAACTTAGTAGGCGTTTGAACATAATTGGTTAATATCTTAAAAGGTAGTATGTAATGTTAAAGTTAAAAATGTTTTTAAAAGTTGAAGTTGTGTTTAGATATGGTGTCACCAGTCCACCCACCGGACTGCGTAAGCACCTACTCTACCCTTACATATGAGAATTCTTACCACCTATTAGATTGAACTTAACAACATTGTGCAATGATTTGAAATCATTATATAATTTCATGGCCTGTAGACTAAAATCTCCTCTCCAATTTTTATCTTGTTCTTCAAGCACAGGGGCGTAGCTATAGCCAGTTGGACACCTTTCGTTGAAAAATTACATTGTATATATATTACCTTTAAAGAATATATATTTAAAGGTGGACAACCTTGACAAAAGTTATGCCTTTTGGCATAGTGTTAATGGGTGTTCATTTGAATGAAGGTGTTTCAGGGTTCAAATCCCAAATAGTACAATATTTTTTTGTTTTATTATGACAGACACACACCGTTCATTATTCTTGGACACCCTTAATAAAATTTCTGGCTCCACCATTATCTTCAAAATTTATTAATTTATACATAGCTTTATATATATATATATATATATATATATATATAATAACATTAAGCTAATATAAATCAAACATACAATGAGATTAAGGCTGGCTTATAAATACAACTAAGGGTGTCAAAAATGAGTCCAACTATAGGTAACCCGCCCAACTCGTTCAGAATTTTAAGGGTTGAACTCAAGATGATTTGAATTGGGTTCAATATCAACTCGTTCTAGCCTTAACCATTTTAAGAGAATCCTCAATTGAGCCCAATTTAATCTCTAATTTCAACCCGTTTTAAGACTCTTTATTTGCATTGATGTAATGTATGTTCCCAACTTCCCATATTGAATGTATGAATAACTATCTATTTTATATCTTTTAAGATTTATCTATTAATTTATAACTTCATTTTTTAAATTTTCTAAAGTTGAAATTCAAATTGTGGTTATAAAATTTAAATAACAATATATTAAAATATTGAGATTAAGTGGGTCAAATTAGACGGGTCAAGACTCAATTCGTTTTTAAGCCCATTTGAGCCCAAAGTAAACTTGGGTGGGTTAGGACTCAACCCAATTTCTATTTCAACCCATTTTAATATCTCAAATTTCAACCCAACCCACTCATTTGACACCCCTAAATACAACATGCATAGTAAGTTAACCTATATATAGGAACAATAAGATTATATATAATAGGTGACAAACAATCAGTTAACCCAACTTATATATACAACCATGACATTAAGCTAATATAACATAACGACATTAAGCTAATCAAAACAAAAAAACCAAAGACATAAAGTTAATAAAATATAGTGACAGATTCAAATATCTTCTAACATTTTAATTACAGGTTTTACCTTACATCTAGAATTTATTTGTTGAATGACTCTGTAAATTATTTTCACATAAGTAATTTTTACAGATTGTGTCAAAATAAGCCTTACACTAGTGTTGTGCAGATATGAAATCCTCGACAACTTGTTTAGATGTAGCACTCAAATTTTCATTTATAGGCTTCTATGTGTTTTACACGCCCTTTAAGATGTGCTTTAGAAAGTACATGTTTAACAACATTGAGCAATAACTATAACAATAAACAACATAACAAATTAAAATATTATTTGAATAAAAATTTAACTGAAAATCTGAAACTTATAATAAAAATGTCAGACAATTATCTTTTACATAGAATACATAAATGTAAATTCTTCACCATCTGTTAGGTTTAGAAAATTTCTTAGCTACTCAACAAATTATTTTTATATTTTAGACATTTTAATGTTCACCAATGTTAAGACATGTGGATAGAAGTGTTTCACTAAATTTTATCCGAGGACAATCAATAAGTTTTCTTGTATTTCTCTTTCAAAAAAGTTTTATCCAAGCTCATAAAAGACCTCAAACCTCCTTTCCAATCATTTTTAAAAGCTTGAATACAAATATACATTTTTAAGAATCTTTTTTTTTTCTTATTTTAAAGTCTTTCTAGATATATATATTTATGATAGCATTAGTACCAAGGTTGTTACCCCTCAATTTTGAACATAACCCTTCAACTTATTGAATTAATCAATATAGCTACTCTTAACTTTCTCTAATTCAAGCCTTTTAACTTTCTTCATCTTAGAATAACAAATATTCAATGAAAAATTATGATCCAAATCTTGTCGCATATCTTTCACTTTATACTTTGTATTATTTTTCAAAAATCATGAAGTGGTTTGCTAAAGCTTCTTGAGTAACTCTTTTTTGTTCTTAAAAGCTTCCCTACATGAGTGTTTTGTGTTTAATGTCTTAATTTTGAATCACTAATTTTTATTATCTTTCGGCCAATATCACACAAATATCTCAATCTAGTAGAATCATTGTTATCAACTTAAGTTCAATCTTTTTAGCAATAGAGTAAAAGTTTACAACGTTTTTAGCTTTTTTTCACATATCGTTTTCGGCTCTAAAAATCTGTCTAGCTTGTCATTGATTTCTCTGTCTAGATCGTATCCCAAGGGAGCGGTTTTGAGAATTAGTAGCAAACTAGAATTTAGTTCTAACTAGTCATAACTAAATACATTAACGATTACAAAACATAATAAATTAAGGGGGATGACACAAAAGTGTCAAATATCGATTTGGGGGGTTTTTGTCATAAGTATAGCAAAAACAGTAAAAATAACAAAGAAATCTATGAATGAGAGGGGAATTTTTGGGATGTGATCGGAACATGGGATAAACAAGATTGTTGGGTACATGATTTTGATAGAAAACTTATAGAGTAATTTTGACTAGGCTAAGCTTTAAATGGAAATAAGTTCTCTCTCTCGAGCAACTTATCCCGTTTCAAATGGGTTTCTCTCGGACACCCACTTGCCGCATGAAGACCAGCCTACGCCTTACCCCACTCACTCTCTCGAGCTGAGTTTTAGGATATGGGACTAGGGTTCACTCTCTCGAGCTGAACCTCATGTCGACCCACTCCTTAGGCCATTAATTTAGTAGTCTTGATTTCGCAACTTCTCTCTTGAGCAAGCCGAAAACACATGAGTGAATTTGTATTTGCAACTACAAATCCATTAGATTCATCCACAACTACTAAACGAAATCAAAATTAAACTACATTTAAACTATCAGCAAGCAAGACCCAATAACTAATATAACCCATATTCACAAAATCACACCCTAAGAATTGAGGTTTTTAGCCACACATCAAGAGATAGAAATTTATACCTAAATGATGTTGCATTCAAATGGGTATGAAGATTTAAGTCTCAATTTAGGTCAAGAATGGAGAATCCAAGAAACCCACTCCCAAATTGAAAAAGATGAAACCCTTTTCTTTTTTTTTCTTCTTTTCAAAACCCTCTCAAACTTGAGAGTAAAATATTGTATTTTGTTAGTAGTAATTGATATTCGATGATAGTATTTTTTTGATATCTAAAATAAAAGCTACAACTAGTATTTATAGTTTTCAGAAAATAGTGTTGCGGCGGATCACTCGACGAAGTTAGTCGGAATCGCTGATCAAGTCGGCAATTCGCCCTCTGGTGCAGTTCATCGCCTTTCGTTCTTGCCTACAACATCTTCGCGTCCTGGACCATTGGGCGATATAGTACTGCTTTGTGGAACTGTTCGGCGACACGCCGACTCTCCTCTTTACTGCCGATTTGATCCTTTTCTTCAGGGCTCAGCACACTGGAACAAAAGGCAAGGCAAGACCCTTCGATGACTCGCAAAGTGGATTCAGCGATGCTCAGCCCTTCATTTCTTCATTCTTTTTTGCCTTTTTGTTCCTTTTTGCGACATAGTGTCTAAGTTTTCCTTAAATCTTCAAATACCTGAAACTTAAGAGTTTTTATCCGATATTAAGATAAAAAGAAGCATTTGAGGACACTAATTCTATTAAAATATGGCCCTAAATGAGTCCAATTTGTGGACTCATCAATCCTCCTCCTCTTCAGTTGATTCATAATAAGTTCTTATCTCTACTAGCACTGAATAATGTGTATTGAGGTCACACATATTAGAAGTAAGAAGTAAGAACTGTAGCTTCACTCTCATATACAATATATAATTACGAAAAAATAAACATATTAAACAGAACAGCGTAGAGTTTCAATACTTGAATCATCCACAAATAGA